TCAATTCCATAACCTAATTCAAATGGGGCTAAACAATACCATGTGGCAGTATGATGCATTCTGTTTCAGGTGGCATCATTGGGAGTGAGGTGGGGGTGGTTGCCATAGATAGGAAATGGTGCCTGAAAGGTGCAGCAGCTAGTGGTGGAGGGAGGCACATGAGATCTGCCTCAGGCAGCAACATGTCTTGAGTTGGCACATGATTGCTAAATTTACATCAGTCTTCAAAAACATGTACCCATTTGAATAAATACAATTTGCCTACTTATAGGAAAATGAATAACTGCCATAATTTACATATAAAGAGGAAATTATATACTGTTCATAAAAAGGGGAAATTACATTCTTTGACAAGATTTTATTGGGAAAAGTGCATGTAGATTTTTATTATATGAGAATAATTTATGAGCAGAGCCCCAGCCAGCCAGCACAAAAAAAGAGTACCAGGTCCAATTAATGATTTCAACATCCTTGCTGGGGAAGCCTGAGCAGCTGAAGATAAGAAAAATGTAATAAAACACTACATATGAACTATAAACAGTGAATGTATTGATTTGTTATCAGCTGATATTTGGATTCTGGAAACAGAAAATGAAGTACAATGAATGGCCTGGGAAGTTGTTACTGAGGGGAATGAAAGGAAGGGAACAAGAAACAACTGCAGAAAAGAAATGAATGGAGCAAGTAATGAACAAAAAATGAAAGTGTGAAAAGACAAAGGTGAAAGAGAAGGAAGCAGTAGAGCATCAAATATGGGAGCAAGGCAACAGGAGGGTAAAAACAAGAGCAACGATGGGAAAGGAAGAAAGGAAGAACATATAGAAGTGAGTCAGATACATCATGGAAGTATCTGAATATGCTAATCACTCAACCATTTGGGAGGATTAGAAGCCAGAGTAATATTTCCTGGAAAAATACTGCTTCCAATCTGTTACATTCCTAGGAAGTAACAGTATAGTATTTGTTCAGTATTTGTTCAATAATCTGTAGAAAAGGAGAAGAAAATCGGTAATTTAAAATGATACACAAACAGAGGAGAGGCAGTGTTGTTGCCTTACAATTGAGCCAGGGTATATTCCTCCACCACCAGCCTTCTCATCATACTGAGGAGAATAGGTCTGCAATGGAAAAGAAAGGTGATGTAGCCATTACAAATGAAGGCATAAGCTAAACATAAACTTGGAACAGTGTATAAAATGGACAGATTTAAGCACCTATGCCCCAGAATTATCCCATCTTGAAGCCCAAAAGATATGTCTTCCTGCTTCCTGCTGAGTCCATGCTGAGTTTAGAAGATATGGTTTATTTCTTTTAAAATAGATACATAAGTGCTGTCAAATCATTCTGACAAGATTGACCAAAATTATATCTAAAGTTCAGCTCCTGGGCAACTGATGATAAAGTTCTTTTTCAGTTTTACCATTCTCTTCTGCATTCTCCTCCTCATTGCCTTTCCTGTTGTTCTATTATGCCTAATGTGTGTGTTTATGTGCCTTCAAGTCGCTTGTCAACCTATGGAAATCCCATCAATTTCACAGGGTTTTCTTAAGCAAGGAATACTCAAGAGGTGGTTTTGTCAGCTCCTTCCTCTGAAATCTAGCCTAGAGCACCTGGCATTTGTTGGTGGTCTGCTATTCAAGGACAAACCAGGACTGTCTCAGCTTAGCTTCCAAGATCAGATAGAATCTGGTAACTTTAGCCTAATACTGTTCCTTGTATTAGGAAAAAGATGGATAAAGAGAAGTAAGTGATAGAGAAAGAACATTTTAAGGCCCTTAAATAAGTGTTGTCAATAGATCATGTACTGATTTATTGGGGAGAGCAAATCAACACCAAATCTTTGAAGTGGCTGAAAGCTTGGGTAACCAGGAAAACTAATGGAAGGATTGACTGGAAAGGAGAATATGGTCAGATTTCTATATCCATGGAGATCCATTCTGGAAACCCCCCCACCCACACACACACCAATACCAACATCTGCATATGCTCAGGTCCTGTTTTCCTAATGGCAGCATGGCATGCACTACCATTAAGAAAAATGGGGGCTTGCCATCTGCAGATAGTTAAATCCATGGATGGCAAGTCTGCCGATAGAGTTGTTCATAGGCAGGGAAAAGTTTTTTCAAGTTCTGTACTCTGACTCCTGTCTGCAAGTACCATTTCACATTCATGAAGGGAAGATTATAGAACAGTTTTCAACAAGGACAGGAAGGATTTCGCTAGGTTCAAAGCCCTGTTTTGGATATATTTAACATTCATTTGTGGAAAAGGTAATATATTTAAATAATATTTTATTCTGGCTATTTTCATTTTTCATTATAACTCTACAATGCCACAGCCTCATGTAAAGATCTGTAATTATAGCAGCAGCCCTTCTTTATGTGGAACCAGTGAAGTAACCAGAAAATGTAGGTGATTTCAATGTCTACAGATTTTGGCAGGGTGGTTGTTCTTCAAGTGCTCAAAAATGGTTCCTTTCCTTTCCAATAAAATAAAAAATAAAATTTGCTGTGAGCTCTTTTTTCCTAGTCCATAATTTCTGGAGCATTATATAGATTTACATTGTCTAGATTGGTTCTTTGATAGCATGTTCATTTTAGCATTGATTGAAGAGTGGCAGAAAATAATAAAATGTTAACTATAGATTTTGTGAAAGCAAAGTAAAGGTGTCAGTGTGTATGCACTCTGCAATGCAAAGTATAATCTCTGTTTTATTGCTTAGAATGACTCATGTCAGTTTACTGAAATTTTGAATGCTTTTTGCTGGTGTTGGCTAGAAAGAATAAATAGTCCCCAAAATAAAATGTAGTGGAAGTGTAATGTTATATTCTCAGAGAGCTTGGCATATCTGAACTTTCTGTCTAGGATTGTAAAAGATCTCTATAAGATTTACGAAGGATGATCCATCTGCACTGCAAATAGATGATAAAGCCTTTGCAGTAGTTCTCCAAATGTTACTAAACTTCTCTTCCTATCTGCCCTAGCCAGCTGGCCCTTGGTGAGGCTCTTTGAGAGTTGTAGTTCATGAGATGACTGAAGATTCCCATTGTCTGCTGTGACCAGTATTTGCCCCAACCATGAAAGCCCCACTTGACATTTAGCGTAATCACATCTGTGCGCACATGAATGTCTTGTGAACTTGGTGAGTCCTCATACATTCACAAGAATGCATTTGCAGATTGGCATGCTTTCTTTTGGCAAATGAAGAATGCACTGTGGACATGCAGCATGTATATGCAAATTTGAGTGCATGATACTGGAACCACCAAATAGTGAAATAAGTGGAAATAAGCTCTCCTTAAATGAACAAATACCAGTGTAGCTTCATATCCTCACTGCAAGGCTGCAGCTCTTGTAGAAAGAGTGTGAAGAACAGAACACAGAAACAGCTAGACAGGCTCTTAAATGCTCTTGGATGTGGAGAAAGGATAGATGAGATTTCAAGAAGAAGAGCACAATAAAATATAGAATGAAGAACAGGATTCCTGAGAGAGAACATTTATAATTATGAGCATCTTACAATTCAATCCTTTGTGTATCTGCTAAGCATAAGCCTTCTTGGAGTACTTCTAGCCTCTCCCCAAGTATGTGTGTATAGTTTTTATGCCTAACAGTGTAGCCTTTCACATGTTTACTTGGAAGTTCCAATAAATTCAAAGAGACCCTTGCTTCCTTGTAATTGATACTTGGCTGCTGTGCTAGCATTGAAGACAATGTTCACTCCCTGTATCAATCCTCATGAGATTGGATGAAAATGGAGAGCATTAGCAAAAAGTCCTTCTGTCTCTTCCATGAAGTGACCCATTGCTTCCTTGGTGGCATCCATCTTCATCCTGTACACTGACCTTTGACTGAATGCTATTTAATGAAACAATAAGGAAACATGAATTTCTCCATGTTGGCAGTATACATCAACAAAATACAACTTCATATGCAATACATTCAGAGTAAAATTAAAACAAGCATTTTATTTGACTTACCATTCTTCCATTAAAACTGGGGCACTCTGGGCAGACTCCGGGGGTTCCAGGAGTACCAGGAGTTCCTGGCTGGCCAGGTGGACCAGGTGCGCCATTTCTTCCAGGAGTGCCAGGTGGACCCTGAACATTATTTTATGGGAGAAGGAGATAAAATATTTACTCTGGTTCACTGAAAGCGGTAAGGTAAGTTGTGGTTTTTTTTTTTAAGTGTATGCACTGCAAGTACAAACACAATTATGTTAGCTAGGAGTCCCACTAGACTTTCACCTTGTCTTTCACAGTGGATTGATCCATGTTTTTGATAACAGCCACCTAAAACTTATCTGCTGTATATTCCCATCTTCTTCCTGGTAATTTGGAGAACAGCACTGGCACTACTAACCTCTGCCTTATACTAAATATGAGGCAGTAAAGGTACAATAAATGTACTTGACCCTTTGCTCTTGAGAAGGTTTTCATAGCCCACTGGAGATCTAATTGGCATTCCTCACCCCACTTCCTCCCCACTTCTCTTTTCCTTCCAGCTCATATCAGTAAAAACACCCCTCAAGGCAAACTTTGTTCTGAGTAAATTCTCCTTGGAGAAAAGAAGAAGACTGGATGAAAAATCCTGTCTTGATATCAGAAGCAAATTGAGGAGGCAAGTGACCAAAATAAAACTGAGTCTCTCTCTCTTTCTAATCATATGTTAATTTAAAAAGACATTTTAAAATTGTCTTTGAAACAGTTATTTAAAACATTTAAGTCACACTGAGAGCCCCTTTTGAGTTGAGATCTAGCTCAGAAATGCTTTTATTAATAAACAAACAAATAATATCATCACTTAAACAAATCATTCTAGTTTCTTTGTCGTCCCCCCATGCATATTGTTGTTGTGTCCTTTGAAGTCATTTCTGGTTTATGGTGATACCAAGGCAAATCTATCACAGGATAGGTAAGATTTGTTCAAATGAAGTTTTCCTTTGCCTTTCTCTGAGGCTGTGAGTGTGCGATTCATCCAAGGTCACCAGTGGGTTTCTATGGCCAAGCAGGGATTTGAGCCCTAGTCTCCAGAGCCCTAGTCCAATAGTCAAACCACTACACCACACTGGCTCTTGGTGTAGCATATGCAACATTTCCTTAATCTTAGGTATAATCCACACTTAGACCTACATAGAACATATCCACTGAAATCAATGGGACTCCAGTTAATTTAACAATTTCAATGGGCCCGTTCTATATAGGAATAATGCTTTATTTAGCCCAAATGTATGAATCATGTGGCTCTTCCAACATTGTTAGACTGCAAGTTCCAATGGCCTTTCCTAATCTAACCAATGCAGAGGAATGATGGGAGTTGCAGTTCAACAATATCTGGAGGGCTGCATGATTCTATACTTGATTGGTAGCCTTCATTTCCTTGTCTTGAATCACATGGTCATGATGTTTCCATGACCAACACCTGTGTTACGTTAAACATCTTTCTGCCTATATATCATATATAGCATATGCCATTCAGAGCATACATGTATATAGATATGAAGATTCATTGGATTTCATGTTTGCCAGTTTTTCCCTCAACATCCACATACTTCCTGGCCTTGCTGAAATGTCTGCTTATTGAGCTTTGGGTTAATAGACCTCTTTGCTTTTAGTGTTGGTGGTAGAGAACTTGTGGTAGAGAATTGCTAGAGCCTGAACCAAAGGCTATGGCCTAATTCCTCACTCCCTAGATTGGCTATACTATATAGGTATTGGCTACATATACAGAGAAAGTTCTTGTAAATACAAGTGCTTGAAGATTTTGTTCAGTCCACATTTTAAAGTAAACTGATTTGATCCATCCTTCCCAGAATAAGATGCAGAATAGAAAAATGTTGTTGTTCTTTGATGTGATTTTTAAAACTTTTATATTGGTGATATTTTTCATTCAAAAATACCTTGCATATAAAAAGGTGTGTTTTAGGTTCCAGAACATAAAATATCATATTTTTTCAGCAACCTTCTATAATTTTGGGAAAAATACATTAAAAATAGTCTGATGAAGAAGTGAGGTACAATCAACAAAAAACTTATACTATGTAAAACTCAAATCTTTGGGGTGCTCCATGGCTCGTCAATAAATATGTGCAAAGCTGACATGTACTAGAAACAAAATGATCTCTTCATCCCTACCTATAAGTGCCCCAAAAGGTTCACTATAGGTCACTTACATTCACTGATGAAAAAGCACAGTTGATGGAACACATTTGCTCTGCCCAGAAATCCTTTTCCTCCCCTAAATCTGCTCCTAAGGATTGGGGGAACCACAAGAACAGATTTGCTGATGATACATTTGGGTGGAAAGAAAGAATAAGCCACTTGCTGAGAAAAAGTTCTGTTACATGATGTTTAATGTAGCCCAAGGAAGGATGGATGGGTTGGTCAATTTTGGTTTCATTCCAGTTTTGAATTTTTGCAATCTTTGGTTTAGTTCCAATTGAACTGGGAAAAGTGTATTAATTTAAAGTTTGGTTTGTCCCAGGCAATGGGATTTTTCTGTATTGCAATAATATTGTTTACACTTTTGTGTGCATTTCTCCAAATACATGGAGTTTTGTGTGCAATTTTGCCATGTTGATAGATTTTTACAAGAACTTTTCTAACACAATGGATCTTTGAATGATATTTTTCAAAGATATACATTTATCATGTACATTTCCCTAATATATTAATGTTTGTGCTTTTTTTAAAAATGGAACTCCAATCTAAAATTCATAAAAGTACAAATTGTGATGGACACAAGAATTTTAGTTGATGAATTGGTTTGAACATAGGAAAGCAGACAAATTCACATTAAATTTTGAACCAAACTAATTTATTCCCCATCTCTAGGCCAAAGATAACACAAGTATGGGGTGTAGAAACAAGGCATGTTCTGCGTGGTAGACTATTAAATTATCACGGTCTCTATCAGATGGCTGAAATGGTACTGCCTTCTCTCAGTGAAAAGAACTGTATCATTGAAGCCAAAGGATCAGCTGAGTTGAGTTGCAATGTAAGAACAGAAGCAGGTGGTGAGAATCTCTCATTCTAATATTACTGTTATTTGTTATTCAGACCCTGTTGTATTTTGCTTTGTTTTTTTTAAAAGATATGCACATTTATGTACACATTTATTGAACTTACAGGATCTCCCCTGGGGCCTTGGGGACCAGCTACAGATGGACCAGAAGGCTAGAAGCAGAAAAGACACCAAAAATTGAGTCAGATTGAGCTGTAAAATTCACTACAAATAGAACAAACATAAAGAATATAAAGAAGGAATAGTTCAAAATTTCAGACAAGTCAGTGAATATACATCCACATCCACTTTGAAAAATAAAGCTGACACACATCAAAAACTAAGGAACAAGATGCCTCTGAATATGTTCTCAGTGCAGGAATTTGTGATCTGTACCAGAACCAAGTTCAGAATCCTTTCAAACTAAATCCATTTCTGTTTTTTTCCAAGCATTCTTTTTCAACAATCTAATTTAGGGGAAATAGAATAGAGTTTTAATTGGGAGACAGTTATTCTACAGATCTACTAGTAGATCTACTAGTACATTTACTTTTGCCCACATGTGCCTTATTACTCACGTCACCTTGTATATCAAATGGAGCTTATTAGTTTTTAAATAAGGGTAATCAGTTGCCCCAAAGTATTATAACACTGTGGGAAGAAGAATCCTAGTTCTGCAGTTCTAAACTCACCAAGTCTTAACTGAGGATGATAGGTAGTCATTTGGTGTTATATAAGTTGGCATTTTATTGACAGGTAATGGATAAATTGCCCTAGTTTGTGCAAAGTGTTTAGTGGGATGTTTTCTTTCTCAGTGCTTTTAGCTCTGCTGCTCCAGGAATGTATATGCTGTATTTTCTGTTAGCAATGATTACATAGAGTGAGGCAAGCATCATCCTACAATCTACCCTAACCACATGGATAGAAGATAGGCAACCAGGTGTATGCATTTAGGGGAAAAAAGGGGGTGTTTTTGGCTATTTCATTCCAAATAGCTTTCCCTGCTTTTAGTTTACATCATAAGAAGATAATTAAATGGTAAATAGAAGATTACCTTGTTATAAAAATGTTCTCTTTATGATGACATAGAGACATTTTTAAACAATATTTTCCAGAGAAGGAGTATGGTTGACATGAAATACTGTTGAAAAGGATATGGCTGGCAATTATAATTGCCTCTAAGTTAGCATGCCTACTGTAAATGGTGGTAAGATGTTTACAGTTTGTTGCAACACATTGTTTTCTGCCCTGGTTACAAGCTGAAACAGTGAAATTTGGTTTCTTTTCGAAATTTGAAGCAGCGAAAACTAGTTATGCTAATGTCCTCTTCAGTCTGAGGAGGAGGGTGAGTAAGGGTTTATTGGCCTCCCTCCATGTCCTCATCAATTGTTCCATCACTTTCCTTAAGATGGAACGTGAATATCTGCACCAGGGAGCCTGCTCTGTTTGAATAACCCTGATGTAAAGGATCTAAATCATGTGAGGAGTCTACAAAATGTGCAGAGCAAGCTTTTCCCAGTGTAGATGTTTTGGTGTTGATGGACATACTAGAAAGGGAAAGGGCCAGCAGTTTCATCCGTACTCTTCCCCACAGGAAATGGAAATAAATTGGCCAGGAGAAATGAGAAAAGAGGGTTTATTTCCCATTCAAATCTATGGAACTGCTTGATTTTGTCTTAATATCAACACTGCTATGGCACAAGTGGACAAACTACAGGCCACACGTAGCCTCAGTGGATCCTTGAGAAACCTTTCAAAACACTGAACAGTGGGGGAGAAAAATCACCCTTTCAAAATGGTAAAATACTTCCTCATAAACCTCTGGGGAGGGTAATTTGCCCCCACATGTCTGCTTTAATACTAAAAGGAGTGCATTTTAAAGAAATTGGAAGTGACTTTTTTTTTTATTTTATTTCAGGATGTGGGTGGTTAGAGAGATTTGAAGGTGGTGCATCCAACCAAGGTCTGGGGAGGACAAAAAACACCATGTCTGGGAAAGCTGCTTCCCTCAGTCTATGGGGAAATGTGCATGCAAATTGTAAACATTAGGCACTGTCCAGATTTAGAATTCTGCACACAGAACCTAGGCATGTACACAATTTATATTCATGTTCAGTGGCATCACTGGGGTGTGTGTTTGCAGGGAGTGTAGAGCAAACCAGGTGACACCCCAGAGGAGGGGTGACACCCAGTTGGGCCCTCCACCCCCTTCACTGTAGGAGCAGTGAATGTATGCCCTTCCCACATGCTCCACCACCAGGCTTTCTCCCTGGGGAACAGTGGAATCATAGAATTGGAAGGGACCACAATGGAGCAGCAGGAGGGGCAAATATGCACTCTTCCTAGGTGACACCCTCTGTACTGGGTGACACTCTAGCTAGTGATGCCACTGTTCATTATGAACTGGTACAAATTTTCCACTGAATGCACATAGATCAAGAGCAGCAGTTTGCCAGCATCATCATCAGCACCACCACCACCAGCCCATCAAGCAAGTTCACTATGCCTGCATTTTGCATGTCTTAAGGGCCATTGTTCCCATGTTAATTATGGACCAAATGTAGCTGAATTGCACCCTTACTGTTCATAGAGCTGTTGTCAGCCAAGCCAAATTGACAGCACTTTTGCTTTTATTTGTCTATCATAGGTGCATTCAGCACCTGGTGGCTCTAGATAGACGCAAGGGCCTCTGCATGGCCCATCACTGAAAACTACATCAGGCAGTTTGACTGCCACTTTAATCACTGAACTTTCAAGTTATTAAAACAGCACTTGAAGGCAAATAGAGAGGACTCCATTTTAAGAAATTTTCCATCTTGAGCCAGATCAATCTTTGAATGTGCACTTCATTCCAAGCATCCATACACAATGGGAAAGTTCCAGTTGAAATTTACACTTGGCAATGTCAGTTGTGGACAAAATGGACGTTCTCTTGGGAAAGTGTTTAGTGTTCCTTGGATCTAATGGTTTTGGCCTCAGCAGATATTCCTGGCACTTGCCAGGCTCCATTTGTGTTCAAGTGGATAACAAGCCCAACCCTGTTTCAAAATGTTCAACAGTTCTGCAGCAT